CGCCACAACGTCTGGCCATTTTTTGGTTGCAGCCATCATTGTTGTTTGGCGGGCCCGGGCTGGGGATTCGAACCCGCCACCTTGGGTGTATGTGGCTGGCGCCTTAGCCGCTTGAGCCACAGGCGCCGAGCCAAGATTTTTAAAAATTAAAGAAATAATTCTCAGGGCCAAGTGTGATAGCTCCCAGCACTCTGGGAGGCCAAGGCAAGTGGATCCCTTGAACCCAGGAGTTCAAGACCAGCCTAAGCAAGAGCAAGACCCCATCTCTACCAAAAATAGAAAAACTTGGGTTGGTGCCTATAGCTCAAGAGGCTGAGGTGGCAGCCACATACAACTGAGCTGGCAGGTGCGAATCCAGCCTGGGCCTGCCAAACAATGACAACTACAACTAAAAACAATAGCCGGGCATTGTGGCAGGCGCCTGTAGTCCCAGCCACTGGGAGGCTGAGGCAAAAGAATCACTTAAGCCCAGGAGTTGGCGATTGTTGTGAACTGTAATGCCATGGCAGTCTACCCAGGGCGACAACTTGAGTTTCTATCTCAAAAAATAAAATAAAATAATAAAAATAAAATAAAATAAGGGGGCGCCTGTGGCTCAAAACGGTAGGTCGCCAGTCCCATATGCCTAAGGTGGTGGGTTCAAACCCAGCCCCGGCCAAAAATGGCAAAAATAAATAAATAAATAAAAATAAAAATAGACCCTGTCTTTTTTTTTTTTTTTTGAGACAGAGCCTCAAGCTGTCCCCCTGGGCAGAGTGCCCTGGCACCACAGCTCACAGCAACCTCCAACTCCTGGGCTTAAGCGAGTCCCCTGCTTCTGCCTCCCGAGTAGCTGGGACCACAGGCACCGGCGGCAACGCCTGGCTATTTTTTGGTTGCAGCCGTCATTGTTGTTTGGCAGGCCCGGGCTGGATTCGAACCTGCCATCTTAGGTGTATGTGGCTGGCGCCTTAGCCACTTGAGCCACAGGCACCAAGCCGACCCTGTCTTTGAAGCTGTCCCTGAAGTAACAGCAGAGAGAAGTGGGCAGACCAGAAACCCAGGCGTGGAGATTGATCCTGTAGGAGAAAGGGGGCCATCATGGCAGAGGACCTAAAACGATTCCTGTATAAAAAGTTACCAAGAGTAACTGGGTAGAGTGCCATGGCATCACAGCTCTGGGTAAAGTGCCATGGCGTCAGAATTCACAGCAACCTCCAACTCTTGGACTTAAGTGATCCTCTTGCCTCAGCCTCCCAAGTTGCTTGGACTACAGCCCCCCCTACCCCAAAATGCCCGGCTATTTTTTAGTTATAGTTGTCATTGTTGTTTTGGCAGGCCTGGGCTGCATTCAAACCCTCCAGCTCCAGTGTATGTGGCTGGTGCCCTAGCCACTTGAGCTACAGGTGCCAAACCATGACTAGTTCTTGAAAGCAGGCTTGCTACATCCCAAGGGTAGAAGAGAAGGAAGAAATAATATTAGAAACATTTGGAATAATAAAATATACACTTGGACGTGTTGTTATATGTATGGATTTGGATGCTGACATCCTGGCTTCAGAGCCATAGATCCATACAATTAACTATTAACTGTTGATCCATGCTTCTCACTGCCTAAGTCAACAAGCTACAGATACTAATGGAATGTGTGTTTTGTGCATTTTTGAATTCTCTGTTAAATACTGTTCTTGGATTTGCATTTTAAAATCTAGTTGTGGCTTGGCACCTGTGGTTCAAGTGGCTAAGGCGCCAGCCACATACACCTAAGGTGGTGGGTTTGAATCCAGCCCGGCCGCCAAACAACAATGACGGCTTCAACCAAACAATAGCTAGGCGTTGTGGCAGGTGCCTGTGGTCCCAGCTACTTGGGAGGCTGAGGCAGGGGACTTGCTTGAGCCCAGGAGTTGGAGGTTACTGTGAGCTGTGGTGCCACAGCACTCTACCCAGGCAGACAGCTTGAGGCTCTGTCTCGAAAAAAAATAAAAAATAAAATAAAATCTAGTTATGCCCAAAGCAGTCTCAGGCTTTAATAATCACACTTTTTATTTTTTAAAATAACAAAATACTTAATTACCTCTGTATGTTGACCACTCAAGAAACTGTAAGAAACCAGTCAACATATAGCAGTGGTCAAAATAAGGAGCTAGGCCTCCTGTACTGATATATACATGTATTTAACTTCCTTGTACAGCTTTTACTAGAGAATATTTTAGTAAATCATACATCTTAACAGTAAAATCATACAGAATCAAAAAATAAAATAAAATAAAATAGAAAAATTTAGAAAAAAATAGCCAGGCATTGTGCTGAGTGCCTGTAGTCCCAGCTACTTGTGAGGCTGAGGCAAGAGGATCACTGAGCCCAAGAGTTTTGAGGTTGCTGTAAGCTATGACATCACAGCACTCTACCTAGAGTAACAGAGTAAAACTCTTGTCTTGAATGAATTAAAGACAGAGGAAGTGAGGGAAGGAAGGAGGGATGGAAGGAAGAAAAATGGTCACAGTCAAACGGTCTAACATATAATTGTTTTGGGGGGGGTTGCAGTTTTTGGCTGGGACCAGCGCCCTACTCCTTTGAGCCACAGGTGCTGCCCTAATGTATAATTGGAATCCTGGGGGTGGGGAAATAAGAACAGCTAAAAAGTTACCTCTTGCAATCAGCCTTCCTGGACCAACTCTCAGCCCTCTGGTAACCAAGGCAACCCTATATTTTCTCTACTGATGGGTTTTTCTCACTTTACTACAACTCCTGTCAACAGTCTTGTCTCCAGCCTGTTCCTTTTACTAGGAACGTTCTTCCCCTAACTCCTGCTCTGCCTCAGAGAGTCTGTCCTCAGAGGTCATCTGACTGAAAATACATTGCCTCCTTCACACCTTTATTTATCTTCTCAACACCACTTGTTGCAGTGTGCAAGAGCATTTAAATGTGCACCGTATGGATTACCTCCCCCACCCCAAGTGCTTGTAGCTTTGGTTCACCACTGTATTCCTACTACCTAAACCGGCCAGCGTTCACAACAATTTGCTGAAAAAAGGGAAAAAAACAAATACGATGTCCTAGGGCAGTGTGCCATTCCCACCACGGTAAGAAGGGAGGCTGAATAACGCTGCTCTTCAAACAATAGACCAAGGATCCGGTCCTGGCACCTCCGGCTGGGAAGCCTTGAGCAAATCGCTTTTCTGGGCCTTGTATTCCTCACCTCACAGAGAAGTGGGAAAGGGGGCTGAATGGGCCCGGGCCTACCTCGGCGTCGCGGTTGAGGCGGTACACATAGAGCTGCGAGGTGCCGGCCACCACGAGGTTCCGCTCGCTGTTGTTGAAGAAGTTGCAGTACATAGAGAACTCGATGCCGGTGGGCGGATGTGCCTGTTTGTACACGGCGTACATGGCGCCAAGCCTGGGCTGCGCAGGACCGGGGACAGAATGAGGGGGCAACCCGCGCAGGAGACCCAGACAGATCCGGCGCCCTCCTAGGTCTCGCGTCGCTGCTCCAATCCCGCCGTCCACCCACCCACCTGGCAGTTGGAAAGAAACCAAGAGGGACCGGAACGACAGTGAACTCCGCCCGGCCGCTCGCGGAAGCTGAGTCCCAAAGTTCCGGGTTACCGCGCCTGCGCAGCGCCCGCGCGTAGTAGCAACTGTGAAGGTGATGGCGGTCCTTGGTGGCCTAGGGTGGCTGGCCGCATCCGCCGAGCTTGCCCAGCGCACGCACAGTCCCGGAGACCTTGGCTCCCGGAGCCAGGCTCCGGCTGGGGTCTGGGACTCAGAGTGCAATTAATGACAAATAAAACAAGAAAGCTGGCCTGGCGCCTGTGGCTCAAGCAGCTAAGGCTCCGGCCACATACACCTGAGCTGGCGGGTTGTAATCTAGCCCGGGCCCGCCAAACAACGACGGCTGCAACCAAAAAATGGCCAAGCGTTGTGCTGGGCGCCTGTAGTCCCAGCTACGTGGAAGGTGGAGGCAGGAGAATCGCTTGAGCTCAGGAGTTGGAGGTTGCTATGATCTGTGACGCTAGGACACCAAGGCGACAGCTTGAGGCTCTGTCTCAGTAAAAAAACAAACACACACACACACAACAAGAAAGCTTAGTCACAGCAGGCTGGTGGCGCTGGTTTGTAGTCTCAGCTATTCGGGAAGCAGAAGTATCACTTGGGACCAGGAGTTCAAGATCAGCCAAGGGCAATGGAGCGAGAACTGTACGGGGATTGAGAGGAGGAATATGTATATGTACATGCATACATATACTATATTCGCAAGAAAATGGCATGGAAATATGTGTTTGTGGCTCAGCGCCTGTGGCTCAAGCGGCTAAGGCGCCAGCCACATACACCTAAGGTGGCGGGTTCGAATCCCCA